TACACTTACAATCATTGGTGATTTTGTAGAGAAACATTTAGAATGGCTTCCCCAATATTGCACATCTGTATTAAATTTATATAATTCTTGTGGGCTTTCACTCCCATAGAAAAACACCTTCATTCTTTATGGTTAACTTTATTCGGTATATAAACCCTTGCGGGGTGGTTTCTCTGCTCACCTCAACTTTTCCGGCGACCTATATTATTTGCAATACCTAATATTTTCTAAGAGTTTACAATAAAAGGATATTACAGTTATTGGTCCAATAGAATTCTCGTAGTACAAGTTCAATAATCCTCCATCTTTAAAAAGTCATAATTCAGTAATAAAATCTCCACGTAAATACTTTGGTGAGGAATAAACAATTTTCCAACATAAGCTGTCACTGAGACAGTGGAAAGCAAATTAATAGGTTCCCTGAAAATATTTCATTAAACATAATTTCACCAAAATAATTTTAATTTATAGATACATGAAAGTTTTGTTTTTCAAAAAGTGTTACAAACTTCAAAATACCACCTTTTAAAACAGGTTACATGCACTTGGAGCAGAAGTCAAGCATTTTATTATATTATACCCTAGTCAAGTTGTACTTATTAAATTCTTCCTCTGTCCACTTCATGTACTTATTTTTTTCTTCATTAGTACTTAATCCTAATAACAATGCTTTGTCTTCCAGCCTCGTAGTCACTTCGCATAATTCCTCCTTACTTCTAGTTATGATCACTAAATCGTCAGCGGATGATAAGCAATGGTGTTTCTTATGATATAGTAGCCCTTCTCTATTTATATTTCGTTCAAGGCATAGGAACAGGACTGTTAAAAGTGGGTCTGCTTGTCCAACTGCCTTCTCTTTGACTCTATTTTCTGTCTTCTTCATTAATATTCTTATTATTCTAATAAGTTTTTCTTCGATTCTCAGTAATCTTAAAGCCTCAAGCATTTTCTTATGATTTACCTTATCGTATGCTTGTTTGAAATCGACGAATAATGCAACTATCGGCTTTACGTGCACGTAGCTTTCTGCCTGTATTTTTGGGAGTACGAAGATTGAGATATACAATATCTATTTCTTTATTTGTTATTTCTCGGGTAACCGGATTCCGGAAATAGAAGGTAAATATGTTGTTCAGAGGACCTATACAGGGTGCTCCGTGAGAAAATGAACATAGTGAAATGGCAGGTAGTTAGTATGGACCGAGATATTTTCATATCTGAAAATAAAAAAAAGTTTAGTTTTTTACGCATATACGTATACATACATCAGAATTACTTTTTAGAGCTTATTTTCGTGACACGTTAGTACTTTATACGAATTCCTTTATTCCTTTAGAGCGTATTCCATTTATACTGTCAGTACCTGGTATTTATCCCTTTTGACATAGCCAACACTATTGTTGAACGCTTTGAAAAGAAAAAAATTTGGAAGATCGACCTTTCATGCCTAGCTCTTTTAGTGATTATTTTTTTGATACAGTTGATACCTGGTTGATATTTTCTATTAGAACCAGCAATATTGTAGAAAGCCTTGTCTAAAAAAGATAAGTTCGATCTTTCGTCATGCTTTGTACTTTTGTTCGTATATTTAAACAAGGTTTATTTTATTGTCACTACTGCTATCAGGTACGGATTGTTTCGTTAGATTTTTGCCAGTATGTTAGCTTCTTTTTATCCAATAAAATAAAATGTTCACAAGTAGTATAGCGCCAGTTTTTTGTTTGCTTACTATTCCAATATGCCAAAGGTATAATAGTTGATGAGATTTTACATATTTGCAAAATACTATAATGTATAAATAATACTGTATTATATGTATGAGAAGCACAACCTGTTAAGGAAATACTATCAAGGAAAACTCAGTGTTCTCTTGATTGATGGCGTTTTTTTTAACGACATTTTGTGGTGAATGCGCACCCTCCCCACTCTTGCCCTCCAGGCAGTAGTGCTGGATATGACCAACTTTTAAAGCATCTCGTAATCTACTTGACCAGTATTGAAAAAAATATATTTTTGACGACATTGATATGAACTCTTCTTTTTTGAAGCTCTCGATTGGTTTCATGATTGTAAGACAATGATGAGGAGTGGGAGGAAAAAATAAGAGGACACCATGCTGTATAACTCACGTAATTATTGATAAAGTTCTTTAATGGAACACAATAACAAGTTTACATATGTTGCAACGACACTGTATGATACAACTATCTAGTATATGGAGACATTGTAGTCGTATATCACGGAAAGGTGAAAAGTTCATTCCTACTACCGGTTACTAAACGCCTGGATTATTTATTCCAACTCTTTAGGAATTTAATTGACACATATGAAGAAAGTATCTACTATTAATTATAATTTAGATAACAGAAAGTGGTTATTATTTCTTAAGTTTCGCACCTCCTGCTACTTTATCGCCGTTAATGAGCCATGATTTTCTGAACATATTATAATTATCTTTTCTAATGTCTCTAATGGCTTAGATACTTTCAAATCTTATTAAATACACACTTTTAAATAGTAGTGGCATCGGAGAATTTTCACGTTTCTTTTTACACGGCAGAATTCCTCTGGAGCGCCAGAGGAAAATAAAATTGACAATGTTTTAAAATTGAACATCTTGTTTTGTTGGAAATATGAGTCATGTGCTGGCACATGTGCGAGAAATTTCTACAATCTGCAACATGTGAAACTAGCGCTAGACACAATGTGTGCCGCGGACCTTCCAGTTTGAAACGTGTGCTCTTTCTTTTGTGCAGACAAAGTTGCAGGTGCATGTTGCGCATATATGCCTGCAATTTGTTTCTCCTTTAATGATCTGCCTCTTGGATTGTTTCGGTGGTTAAAGATGGAGCAAAAACTGCTAACTGGCAAGATCTGCACCATTATTACGCACGAAATTGATCTTACAAGTCCACCCAGCATCTCTACCAATTACAAAGATCTGAAATGTACCTGTCTCTCTATATATCGTTGCACAGTTCAGCTGTATGTTTACGTACAAAGCTAATTGCTCAATAAATCGGGAAAATTGAAGTGCTGAAATCCGCATCCACAAATGCAACTGGAATCAATTTAGGAAGAAGCAAAAATACCGAGAAATCCCAACAATGGCTATTCGAATGTGCGCTGTTGGTGGCAGATCGCGCGAGTGCCTTTTCTATCTGGCAGTGGCTCGAATCACAGAAAACGTAAAAGCAGGTTATGGGCTCCGGAAGTCAGAAATCTGTATTCAATGAGCAATCTTTTTATTCAATATAATCCAGTACATTTTTGTTGCACCACAGAAAGTTGAGGAAAACATATCAGAAAGTTATAAGTCCCAAAATAGTCTTTATTTGATCATGGTTCCTTAAAATCTTTTACCTACATTGCATCTGTATATGATAAAGCAACTATCTAGAAGTATTTTATAGAAAAATTGAAAAAAGTATAACCTTATTTGTACGTGCAGCTAAACACCACAGATGAAAAGATTCATTTTTTTTTTAAATTTAAGAAAAAAATCAATATCTCAAAAACGGTGACACCTTTATATAGGTAATTTTTTGTTATCTGGGAAGTCAATCCAAAGCCTACCTTCTTAAGTTTGTCGTGGTACTTATTGGACACCCTGTATATATGTTGAAAATTGTTACGGTACATGTTCAACAATCAGTTTAAATATTGAATTTGTTAAGCTCCAACATTTTGTCTTTATTTATGCCTTCCATATGTGTCTTCCATTTGAATATTCTGCCTATTCAAATGATAAATGCAAAATCGTTTTTCAAAAATCACTAAGTGTTTAATTTATTGCCGAATCAAAACCATATATACGATCACACAATGGAGTCCTATGAATATGAAAACCAAATGATAAGTTTCAGGAATTAGATTTTCTGTTGAATTTACACAAAAACGTCAATAGAATGGAAAGTGATTTAATTGAGGCCATCAACGTATAATGCAGACCATAAAGAACTTTAAATAAAATTCGATCATCTGTGGCATGATGTCCTGTTAAGCAAGGTTCCATCCTATGGCCTCCCACATAAATGACGATTTCTCCTGTTCGTCTCTCAAAATCAACGCGCCTGTACTCCAGGGACCGGACTTTGCGCCAAAATTGTTTATACACATACAAACAATCTCTTTGCTGAAGATAGCACTATGCATTCAGGCGCGAAGTGTGTTCAGGCAATATCTGCTGATGAGCTGTCCGATGGAGACAGGACTATCTGGTGTAGTTTAATGCTTCCAAAACACAGTACTGTACCTTGACTAACAAAAAGCGCCGTAGCGCTCATCCGGTTTCGATGTATGGGTGAGTTCTGCCAAAGAGCCATTCATTCCAGTTCACCCAGGTCTTGATTTGGCAAGAATGCATCCCGTGAATCGCGACAGCTGCTAAGAAACGGATAGGTTATTTGTTTACGACTAAGAAGTACTTTACTTCTCATTCTATACAAAGCCCTGGGTGTACTGTCGCCTCGACTACATTGCCCATATTCGATGCTACTCAGAGGAGGGCTGACTGACTAACGGAACAATGCACTTTTCTTTATAGCTAGCAGTCGCGGTGCCCAGGTAATTAGGTTTCTGCTTGCACTATTAATAACCATATTCTAGTCGAAAAAAAATTGTTCGTTAGCTTCTGGTGCAGTAAAAAAATGACGTACACAATGTCAGGTCAGCTATTGGAGCTATTTCAACCCTTATAAACAAACTGTCGTATGTGTTACATCGAATACCGGATGGCTACACACAACCGTAATCGTGCCTTGCCATGGTGGGTCTTCGCTTGTTCGGTATTCAAGGAGCAACTCGCCGCCACGTAATGCCGCTCTGCCGCCCGCCTGCGGCATTCTATTTCACCGAACATCAACTTATCGAAGTAATTTAAAAGCAGTTCCGTCTCTATGAGACAGTATATTACTACAGGAGCAGTAGGGTATCGTACAAATTGCCCATTGTTGACAAGAGGTAGACTGTTTTACACATTGTTGGTCTATTCTTTAGTTTTACCGACCCTGCAACCAACCAACGTGAAAAGGTAGAAACAACACTTTGCTGTTATGCCAAAGCAGATACTGGTATCTCTCTCTCTCTCTCTCTCTCTCGCGTTCGCCCCTAATACGTCTTGCCAGCTGTATATCTTTCGGCATGATGGTTACTCTCTTACCGTGAGCAGAACTTTGTAACCGAAAATCGGTCTTGAAATCTTGCGCTATTTCACGGACCAGCCGTTGGAAGGGCAATTTTCTCATCAACAATTCGGTACTTTTCTGATAACGACGAATTTCTCTGAGGGCCACAGTCCTGGACGATAACGGTGAGGTTTCTTGACTCCGCCAGTAGCAGGAGCACTTTTATATCACATACATAAGTTAATTTAAAATCATTTTGCACCATAGTTGCTATTTCTTCTCAATGTTATTGCAGCTCCTGATGAAGATAGCAAAGTCCATTGAAAGCTAGAGACTAATAAAGTATAAAGAGTCCTCATTGCTTGAATTTTGTCGAAGTACCCAACAAAAGGCGGAAGCTTTATATTTCACCTAACTGGTCTAGAAGACAATGACCACGTCTCAAGTTATATAGATATACATATATGTGATTCATAGTTATTCTCGATAATAACTAGCTAAATGAAAACCTCTCTACCACACCAATAATTCTAGGGTAGCCCAAGGTGTGAATTTGTGAAGCTTTTAAGGAATTTTATTCAATCAACAATGTTTGTCCCGATCCATCCATCTTTTATCACTAAAACATAATTACGTTTTCTACCGTTTTTAAAAAAGGATGCGCGTAAATCCAGTTGTTATCATCTTATGTTCCCAAATACAATTTAAGACATCAAACACTAGCACCAATCTCATTGACGGATTCTTGAAGATGATAGCATAGCCTGTCGAAAGCTTGAGTATTTGTAAGTCAAAAGGCTTGATTTGTCGACATCCCCTAAGATAAGTCTTTCATTTAGCCATATATATATATATATACAGGGTGGCCCATCCATGTGTGGACGGAATATTACTCATAAACAAATAAATTTTGAGAAAATCCATTCACGGCATGTTATACATGACATTTTAGGGCACATTTCTAAAATATTGGCAATTATACAGGGTGTCCCAATTTTGACCTACATATCAGAATTTTGATTTTTTTAAATGGAATGCCTCATATTTTATTGCATATTTGGATAAACCAATTTAAAAGAAGAAGATTGATATAACATACTATGGGGTTTTGGTAATTAGCTACTGAGATTTAAGGTGTTCTGTCTAGAAAAACCCTCCACTTCGGCTACCCCTCAGTCCGCCATTTTGAAATTTGATGACGGCGATTGGTGGGTTGCCTTGACAGTGATTCTACAGGAAGCAGTGGGGTCTAGGTTTAAAATAAAACGTAGGAAACGAACGAATTAATCGAGCATGTTACTAACTGGATTCACACAGCCTACGAAACTCATGGATATAAATATTTTATTTCGATGCACTCCTTTTATAATATCATACAGGCTCACTCATGACTGATAACGCTAAATAACAAGTTAAAAGTAGGTATGTCATTCTTGACGATTGGCACGGCAAGACAAATAGTTTTAGTGCCAGTCAATGTGTTAACAAAACCTCCAAATTTTCAAATGTGTGTAAACGGTTGCATGATAGTTTAGCAGATAAAGCTTCATTATAGTCAATAAATTCTAGCCTCGAATACGAATAATTCATTTTAGATTTTTACTAGGGGAACCTTTCTTGTGATTTGAATTTTTAAGGTTGAAAATGTCACATGTAGTCCTGCGCAAATTATACTTCATTGTGAATTGAAAAAGTATCTTGCCAAAAATGCCTTATATATTCTTGTCTTAAAAAAATAGAATGAAGCACGTCGTGATTCTGTGGCACTCTAAAACTTTAGCCCTCAACTCGAAAAACAAATAGGCAAGGTACAGACGATACCACTCGCTCAGCTAGATCTTTACGATAATACATTCAGTAGCTGCCTCATATGACAAGTTTCATAATTAAGCATGTCTACGTGTTGTAACTTTGTGATCTTGTATAAACAGCAAAGCAGTTGGTTTAAATTACCCATTGTTATTGATCCGCGCGCATAATGGAACAGTTAAATGAAACGACATTATTGATGAGGCCAAGCAATTAGCGGTTCGCAACGACTTTCAAGTGTGAAATATTAATGGACACTGAATGTATAATAATATATATGTAGTTTGCTACAATGTGAAATCATAGGTCCATTCCAAGCGCCCAATAATCTTTCTTCAATTGATTGTTTAGTTAGACTCATATCACCGAACAGACTTGGGCTCTAGCAGTAGCATTGTTTGATACTCGCCACTAAGGATCAAAGGGTGGATTTTACCAAAAGACTGGCCGTTATTTACAACCAATGGCATTACCCACTGGCAAATTGTAGTAACCAATGGCATTGGAAGCATAAAAAATAATAGCTGTATCAACTATGAGAAGACAGGTTAGCATCAAAATTTTTTAGAACTGATTGATTATTTTAAAAATCATATCAAGATGATTAATATTACTTAGAATTACCAAAAATATGTAATATGCAAGTGGAAACTAAAGTTTTATCATTTTGGTTCATAACATCGAGTCATTGCAGCACTTATACCTTAAATTTAAAGAAATGTTTTAAACGACACAGCCTTTTGTTGTTAACAACATATACATATATACCTGAGAACAGAAATTTTATGAAAATTCATACACCTGAACAGTTGCCCAATTAAGGATTTTGATAATAAACCACTGTCAAGGGGTAGGGGTGGCTTCCAGCAAAATCGGCTGTGAAACAGCTACAAAGCAGGTACAAAACAAAACTGTAGGAGTGTAAATGTTGGTTCTCCGCAATGCCTTTACAGGGTAGCACCGAAACCAAAACAACCAAACGTAAAATACAAAATAAAGGGTACTACTCCATAAACTGGTGTTCGGGGGTCCAAAATCCCAGAATCTGGAATTATTACCAACGAAACGACCCACGCACAACCAAAACCACAACGGAAAGAACGGAAAGCAAAAGCAGAATGACGCTGCCCCGCATGTGGTCGCAAGGTATCTTTATAGGAAAAGAAGGTATCTCGATAGGTAAAGAAGGTATCTTGATAGTAAATCACATTTCAAAGAAAGGTATCTTGATAGTAAATCAAATATTATGTAGGTTAGTACGTGTAGAAATCACAAGGTGGCGCTGGTTGCCAATGGGCAGAACCAACTCCTTACGAGGGACCAACCATATTTTATGAGGAAATTTCTGAGATAGTCGTTAATACTGTAACACTAGGGTCCAAAAGATTTCAACATTTCGCTGAGAAAGAAAGTTATAATACGTGTGAAATTATACAATCAATAAACTATGAAATTTGCCAAAAGAAAATCATTAAAAAGGGATGGTCCGACGAATGGGTACTCTACCATTAATAAACAGAAATTCAAAATACTGGTAAGTGATCAGAATAGTAAAAAAACGGTTACGTGAGTTTAACACGTATTGTGATCCAGCTGACATGATGATTTATTCTAAAAGTTTTACAAGATAGCTTCTCAGAAGCGAACAATTCCAAAGGTGCTTCAAAGTGTGTATGAGAGATACATGCATGCAACCCAACTCTGTCATGTCTTCCACCAAATTATTAATCAGCTAAGAGTAATTACAATGTTCAATCACAAATCTAAAATCGCTGAAATTATATAATTTGTTTTTTTAGTATGCCTATGAGACAGTACGTAACACAAAACATATGCACTGAAGAAGATACAGTTCCATGCTATCTATACGTCAACACGGTTGATTTTTGTCAGTGTCAAGCGCCATTTTTTCTGGATGCCACATGGTTGCCAGATTGTGCCACATGCGACGTTGCCGGCTCTTTGTATAAATTATAACGCCATGTGTTATTAACATATTTTAGCTGCTTTGATAAATAAGGAGTCACTTATCTGTTAAAGCAGCAGCGTCAAAAAAAAATTATCCACATATCCTACAGTTATTTGAAATTTTGAGAACTAATTATATCGGATATTCCCGCCGCCGCTGTCAACCAGTACGTCAGTACCATCTGATTGTGATAGCATCCAAATTTGAAATCGCTGGCATCCGAATAATCAACAGTTCCGGATGATTTATCCTGACTAAAGTTAAACCTAAAATTGGGATTGTTAGACATGATGCCCAGGAATGATTACAAATATTAGAGAGTTAATGAAATACCGCCATCCACTATTATTCCGCATATAATTTCTTTTATGTGCGAAAATTACTACAAAAAGTAGGTTATTCGCACAAAAAAATAAGAAAACAGTCTAAGCTGTGCCACTATTTTAAGCTTCCTGTAATAGTGGCAGGCACTAACTTTATTAACTCCATTTATTTATTTTTTTTCACTTGAGCCGCCGATCTAACAAGGGCTAAGAATTTTGTTCTCTGTAGCATGAGGTCATATAGCACCATGTGCTAGCGGTTTGTAGAATGTGTGTCCGAATAGGACAAAATGATTGGGGCCACCCCCTTTCCCTTTCCCTTTCCCTTTGCCTTTGTCTTTGACTTTGCTTTTGCCTTTGTCTTTGACTTTGCATTGCTTGGCCTATCACTTCACCCATGCATGTGCCTTGGCAGCGCTATCACCTTTAAGTTCAACTTCGCCTACAACTGGTTTTGAAGCCACTAAATGTGAGGTCACCCCTCATAACTGGGACCTCCACTTCAAGCACATGGCCATCCTCGCTTTAGACAGTCAAAATGGACCAGCTTAGCGAAAGATAAGTGTATAGTTTTGTAACAGCGCCAAAAATTTAAATCTTTCATTTTGTTCTTTAAAATTGTAATGTAATGAAGATGTTTTTCCAGTTAAATAAAATCTGTTAAATTTTTGTGTTCTGTTTGTTCTTCTATCCTCTAGCCATGCCATGGTCGACACACAGCTACACGCCTGTAGATGTATTCATGCCACCGACTGAGCTACCGGAAGCTAATGGTAACCCCCTTTCTGTGGTTGTGCAGAAAAGTTGGAATCTTCATTGCATTCCTTCTTTTCTGGACTTTTTGCGGAAAGGAGGGTTTACATAAATTGGCACCCGCAACGTGAGGCTTCGATTGGTGTTTGGCTCTGTTGCGCGCAGTTGAGTGCAATTCAGAGGTTGTGTGCATTGATGGTTGGAAGGGTATATCGGACTGTGGCGACAGAAAGCCTGGAAGTGTTGAACGGGATGAAACCTCTGGATATAGTAGCGCATGAGATATGGATACTGAGGAAGGATGAGCGACGAATGAGTGGGGACCACAAGGTGAGGGGTGAGGACAAACCTCACCCGGCCTGGGATGTCAGCGTGAGTGAAACACGACCGAACGAGGTAGGATGGAAGATATATGTGGATGCGAGCGTGGACGATGATAAAACGGGCGTGGGTGTGGTGCCACCGCGGTGTAGCCTGGGGGAGCTCTCCGCTATCTACAGGGGGCTAGAATCTGGAATACGACTACGTGCGGACATCCTTGAGGTGTTCACGGACTGCAGGGTGGCGGTTGACAGTTTGTAGAGCTACGGAATGAAAGGGAAGATGCGAATGAAGATACAGACGCTGATTGGAAGGATGAGAGCAGAAGGGATGCATGTGGAGATAAGATGGATCGAGAGAGGAGCATGTGAGTTTATAAAGATGGCTGATAGACGAGCGCGAGAGGGGAGGCAGAGAGACAGGGTGGATTGGTATAATGAATGGGGGTACAAAAGACGTACTACGAGAAAGAGCATGGAGGAGCGTATGTTGCAAGAATGGCAGATTAAGTGGGATACAAGCGTGGAAGGGAGGGAGCTGTATGAGCTTTGTAGGGAGGCGGGGAATGACCGTTTGCCCGTAAGCTTTAAGGCGGGACAGCTGGTCACGGGACACGGTAACTTCCCGGCCTAACTACATAGGTTTGGATTGATGAGAGGGAGTATGGTCTCCGAGTGTGGAAGAGGGATGAAAGCGCTAAGCACATTAGAGAAGAATGTGGGCTGTAAGGGAGACAGGATGAGAGGGAGCGTGTGAGGCTCACATGGGGTGGCCTCAGACCACAGTTGAGGGTGGAAGGGAGCGTGAATGATAGGGCTATTGAAATGGTGAATGAATTGGCAGAAGAAAGTGTGGATGCGTTGGAACTTTTATTTAATATTCACTTCAGATGTCCAAAAATATGTATCTCATCAAATAAATGACTTTCTACAGATGCATTTGATCCGGCCAAAAACAATATGTATTTCTCAGCTATTTCCGCTCAATGTATAAGTATCCGCAGAATATCTGATATCTCTTTTATTTTCTAAACAGCGTGCGGTATTCCATGTCAATGAGGATATACAGGATACTAGAAAAAAATCATTCGTAAGGCCTCTAAGGGAGTCCCCGGGCTACAGAAAGGTACAAGCGGCAACTATTAACATCAAACATCAACCGCCCTCTATTCATTAAATCAAGGAAGCTTATATTGGGAAAACTTTTAAGATAGGAATTCTCATATGAATGGAGGCAGACAATCAAAAAACGCATTTGAACTAGATCCAATATTACTTTACAGATGAATTTCCAGCAAGAACCAACTTACAACGTAACTAACCTAAAATTCATCCATCCAATCCGTCCTCTGTTCGCCAGCCTGCATCCAAAAACCCAAACCACCCTCCAGATATCACTGATCCCAACCATTCTGAATGCTGGAAAGCCCAATACTCTAGGAAAAAAGCAGAAAATGTTACACTACAAAAATCAATATTAGAAATAGAGTTGAAGATTGAAAAAAGCAGTTGGAAAAGGCACAAATGTAAGTTGTTACCCTATTTGGGCAGTTTTTCGGCAGACGATAAGTACACTTTTCGTCCCAATTAATATCATAAAGTGTCGAAGTGTGTATATACGTTTATTTTCCGTTTTCACCACAAAACGGATTTCGCGACAGGGCTGGATCCACAATGACATTCATCTGTAAACTAATTTCTGCACATTTATTTTCTCCGTATATACATAACATGCCCCTAAAAAAGCTATGCGAGAGCTTCGCAACATTCGAATAACAAAAAAACACCCCTCTAAACGTATTACTTGTGAGGGAGCATTTATCTTCCGTTGACGTTTTCCTATTTCTGTAGAGATGGGGAGCGGTGTAACATTTACCATCAGAAATCAAGCATTTACCCACAACATACCTATGAATGCCCGCTGCCTGGTGAGGAATAGTTCCGGAAAATTCCGGTCCTGAAGGTCCCACGATTTCCAAGAAATTTAAATTGTACTGAAGAACCAGGAATGTAAAATATTGTTACTTTCGTAACTAAATATAAATTGACTTCTCTGTAAGACTTCGTTCTCTACTGCCTAGCTTTCTACAAGCCTATGCGAAAGCTAGAGACCGGTCACGTCAAGATGCCACTGATCATAACGTCGAAAGTCCAATAACTTTGCTGGACTTTGCTACTTATTTCGTGAAATCGAGAAGATCCAACAGAACTGATCAAAGTCCCATACGAAAAGGGTTCGATACATTATTAGTTTTGCTAGACTTTTCTAAGGCATTCCACACCATAAATCATCGCCTCTGAGTAACAAAGTGTAATTTTTTTGGTTTCTCTAATTCGTCTGTAAATATGATAATGGCTTTTTACAAAATCGATCCCCCAGGGTGAGCATTGATATGCGGAGTACCACAAGGATCTGTACTTGGGCCACTATTATTCATTTTATATATGTCATATCTACATATCGACGTTACACATTGCAGTGTTCAATTTTTCGCCGATAGTTCTCAAATGTATAATCTCTTCCAATGTTTTAAAATCCAAACTGCTGTATCTGAGGTCAATGACGATCCATATTCTATCAGTACGTAAGCAAACCATCAAAATCTTCAAATGAACCCGTCAAAATCAAAAAAATTATTTTTTCACCGAAACCATTTAGAAGTGATGCGTAAACTTTAACATTAATGTAAACGGTGACTTTATTGAGGTAACTGAATCAGTCAAAAATCTAGGCATTGTATTTGATCAATGTGTCAAATTCATACCACATGAATAATATAACCAAGAATTGTTTTTCCATTCTACACCAACTACCTAAATACACAATTCCTTGACTATCGAACCAAAAAGCTTATGTTCCATTTTTAGGCTCCACTTCTCTCATGCATCTCCAAAAAAATTAAAATTCCTGTTGTAGATTGAACTTGAGAAAGTATGATCATATAAGCACTTATTTTACAGACATGAAATAAACTATATGAGCTACACTTAGTCACTTATATCCATAAGCTTTTACTCACGGCCATTCCCCGTTTCTAAAGGATAAACTGATACCTAGGAGTTATATTCACACAAGAGATATTCGATTTGCGGAGACACAATGCATCTCCTCAAGACCGCCGTCATTCTTAAATGCTTCACATGCAACGCAGTTATTCTCTATAACGAACTTCCACAATCCATAAAATTGCTAAATTATGAAACATTTAGAAAAGAAATTAAAATATTTATTTTGGAATATACTTGAATTAGTTGTTTTTCTTCAACCTCTCACTTCGCAAAACCTTTCAATGTACGATTTTCCTCAAACTGTAAAACATTTATAATTTATGTATTATACACAACTTATTTATACAACTATAATTACTTTTGTTAACATTGGGATATTATTGTTTTTATGTACCTTTAAGTTGGGGTTAAGTGGCTACGCGATACGCTAAATGTCGCCTCTAATAAAGACGATTATTATTATTATTTCTTGATTGGAAACAATTGTATATCACGTTTTCTTCACTCATCAATTGAAACCTCAGATGCTGAATTTATATTCGGAGAACACGAAAATAATTTGAAAGACATCCGCTTGGGTGTTAGTGTAGTTTGTATGACAAGCAAAAGATGCATGATACCTGTCCCACCACAGAATGCAGTTATATAGCTGAACTCTAGAATGATGTTTATTCAGGTATAAATTAGTAAATTGGTCTACGAGAAAGAAATCGGGCTTCGTCAACAAAATGACAGTAAGAACAGTTCATCTCTACACCGATAAATCTTTTCTAGTTCGCCCTTTTTCGTATCCATCATACGGAATACATATACGCGTTTTTAAGGAAGTGTTCGATACGTCTGCTGTCGTATATGGAACAAGTTAATCCTCTCTGAATCTTTTAAAAGTTCGGAATTTTTATATACGGCAAAGTTAGACGAGATTTCCACACGGACCTGAGTCGCGTTTCCAAAGTTTCTAACACGCGGAATTGAATGATACTGGTATGTGAGCTCCATGTACGTGTACGAACGTCTATTCATTTCTGTATTGAACAAAATGTTGGGTTTCATGAAGTGCTAAAACTCAAGCAAAACTTTCCCTTCAATTCAATAAGGGCTTTTGTTTTGTTTCCATTGATCTGACTTTACTAGCTCTAGTTGGTCACTATAACATGCTAATAGAAGGGATTTTGTTATCTACATTCTACAAATTTACAATTTCAGTTATAGCGTCCGATGTAAACTTTCCTTCACATACTTCCATACTGATCATTGTAGTAGATAAAACTATTTAAAAAACGTTTTCTATACTACATATACACTGGTCGATAACTATTAAGATCTATTTTTACCTTATTTATGTATCGGTGCTATAATACTGCCTAACTGTAAATCCTCCTACCACCGATCTTTCTCTCTATTGATTTCCTTGTCTGAATGACCTGCAATTTTAGCGCGCGAGGATGTCTAAGATTCCACCGAGTGTATCGGCAGTTATTGCCTTAATACTCAATCAAATTACAATTTCTATACAGTATCTGCAGAGCGCAATTTAAGACGTGCCCGCTCGAATCCGAGAGAGCTTCGTACTGGATTTCTTTTCCGACAAATGGAAAATGGCGGCGGGATGCGGAATGTGGATATTATTGGAAGTCTCAGACTGGGTGAACGACTGTACAAGAGAACGCAGCATTTAACTTCTTTGTAGTATTTTAATCTTTTGCTTGCATTTTATTTAGTACTTTCGCCACCTTAGTTTGCAATCATCATGGTGGATTTAGACAGCTGCGCTAAGAAAAACAATGACGCATGAGAAAAATTCAAGCCACGACAATGTATAACAAAACACAAAATGGATCAAGGTAGTCCACCAGGCCAGTACAATTATTGGTCCATACACATTTGATCATGAGTAATCTCGCCAATCCGCAGCCACCTATCGGTCAGAAGATGGTCAGACCTCGATACAGGTATACCTATGTTCGTGGCGTTGCTGTGACCTCTGTGATCCAAGTTTTAAGGGGAAATCTACGGAGAATGGTGTGTGAAATATATCTGATAGGTGCGGATAATTATCGGTTCGGAATTATATAAATACACTAGCGCCAAAAAAAACTAAGATACTCTCCCCGACCCCCGTACAACAATCTGCCTGCTAACAGAAACTGTTAACGATATGGTAGAATCGAGGCTTGTCCTTCGGGAACAGCTAAACTAGTGACATGATATAATAATAATACTAATATTAATAATAATAGCATTTATTGCCGAACAGAATTTTTATAATCCACAAAGAATTGAAATCTGACATAATAACAAAAAACAATAATAATTAGTTCAAATTTGAGAGAATAAATAAAAATTAATATTACATGTACAACGATATTTTAGATGCTGTCATAAAACCCTCTTGAGTTGAGGAAGAGAACAAATACATAAAGATATCACAAATACTGCATATTCTGTCTGAAGTTCATGCACGTGACTCTCACAGGAGATTTTAAAACTAAGTTGGTATGGGTGCAAAAAAAAGGTGATGTTTCTAGAACATGTCCTTGGAGCTAAAATTGGAGCTGAGATAAAAATTCTGAAGGATCAACAATACTATGTGCTAAGTTTAAGACGACAGAGTTGTGTTGTCTTCTCACAATCAAGAAGGCAACTTGGGATCTTTCCGACAATACCTGGTAGTCCGACCTATACTGAAGATAAACTGAACCAATCATGAAAACCAGGTACTTGAAAAATTTCTTTTAAGCATGATCAATTTGATTTATATAAGTTATAAGGACTCTAAACCAACGAAGCATATTCCAATTTGGAACGTACACATACAAAGTATAATGTTTTTAATGCAGCCAAGTC